ACACACATTGAAAACCTATATTGAATTTAAGGAATATTAAAATTCTATATACATTTTTACATTGTATTAAAGAAACCATTACCAAGATGATGTGTGCCTCTGTTGATACTTGAAAGAGCTTGAGAATGAATTCTAAAACAGGTAGAAAAAACCATAAGGACTATTCTAGAGGTAACAAAACTGCTGTGTGACATGAGAATAAAGGAGCTCAAGGGTTTTTTGGTTTTATTTATGTGGAAGATGAGTAAGATACAGCTTGATCACAGTTTCAAAGCACGACATATCTGCTAATAGAAAGTATTTAATTTAGCACAGAAAAGCATAATAAGATCAAAACACTTGAAACTGAAGCTAAATGTATTGATTCTACATATAGCATGACATTCTTAATAGTGAGGATTGTGAAAGACCAGAGCGATATACTTCAGAAATTATGGATTCTCTGCTGTTTGAAATGTTTAAATGAAGATAAAATGTCTCATGGAAAGAGAAAAAAAACTCAGTTTGAAGCTTGTTTGAAGGACAAAACCTAGTGGCATTTATTTGTGCCAGAATATGCACGCTCCATAGTAGACACAAAACTGGTGTATGTGAGACTTATAGAAATTCCACAAAGGAACTGCAAAGTTTTATATTCCAGAACTGAAAGTTCAAAACTGCAAATCTAGGTCATAAAGATGATGTTTTCATACCTGTTATCTTTTGACACAGATAAAACCAACTAACCTTCTGGTTGGTTTTGTTGGTTAGCAGTGTGTTTGAATCCTTTGGCCATTCTGCTACTTAAATATTTAGTTAAATACATTGGTGCTTTTTAAACTGATAAATCACTCAACTCAGTGGAATAGGTCTTCTGCAAGAAAAAGCTGTCCTATATTTAAGTTACACCCTAAATAAATTTTACAGTTGGTTTATATAATGGAGTAACACCAGCCCACAAGCATCTGCTCTTAGCGTGCTGCATATTGTTACTCAAACATGTACCAGTCAGTGCAGATCAGATGACAGGACTCCTTCAAGCAGCAATGCTACTTCTGCAGCACCCCACAATTCCCAAATATTTTGAAGGAGGGGCTACAAATGGGGATTGCCTATTTCTGTGTGTGTCTTTTAATAAAACAGTGGATGTGAGAACATGGTTTCTGCTTAATAATTATAACTGCTTACTTCCGTGTTCGTTTCTGTACATGGATTGCTTTTGGTCACGGAAGAAGTCAAGTAGTCGAAAAAAGTTAGAGTTGCTTATTCACATAGCATGGTGTCACCTTCTTTTACAGAAGAGTTTCAGTTTTGAAGAAGGTGCCATCTGTAATTTTTCAGTTTTTACTTGACAGGGGTATTTATTAGCCACTTGGCATGCCTTGGCAGGTGGTCCTTTATGATACCATATCTTCAGTTCCTCTCCCTTGCGAGGAGGAACGAATCAGTCTGCAGTCCTTGCTATGGCAAAAAGATTTAATCTGACACTACTGAAGAATCACCCATCTTAATGAAGAAAAATATGCCTTACCTTGGACGTTCTGCTCCTAAGAAGTTAAATACCTGCTGCATGTAACACTGGTCTTGACTCCAGGAGTCAGTTCTGAAGTATCTGCACTTTTGGTTTTCCGTGAACACACGAGACTTTCAAGTCTTTGGATTTCATTAATAGTAACCTCTGAGAAGAATGAGAGACATCAGATCTGTGTGTATCATACAGTAAAAATGAGTTATGGAACAAGACTGTTGTGGGATGCTGTGGAAAGTTTGGTCATAGATCATGTTTATGAGAAGCTTGATACCTCTCCTATGTATGTAAACCTCTCCTATGTATGTAATAATTCACTGGCGACTTTGGTTTCCAGTAAAACATATCCACATATGCATGTGCTCTGACATCAGGCATTCAAGATACAGTAAGTATGGATACGAAATGAGAATATCAGATATATACTAACTGATCTTTATACAAGTGACAATAAGGATTTGGAGGAAAAAGTCTGCATCATGTTGTAATATTGGGAAATGGAAATTTTCATCAACTTCTGGCGGAATGGCTCAAGACATGAGAGTGTAAATTCTTTGTTAATAATGTATTACGCTGCCATGGAAGTCTGCATCTCGGAAGCTGAATTCAAATACTTAAAATTAGGCATCCTAACAACTGATTTTTTTTTTTCTCCAAATAACGATAAGCTTTGGAATAACAGGATATTGAAATACTCTATAAAAAACTGTTGCATACAAGTGAATACAGAGCAAAATATCCTGTTTCACACATTCAGATCTTAAAACCAGGATTAAATGTTGTTTTCAGAAAAAAACCATTCTTCTGTTAGAATGTTATTACTGTGATGCTTTCGTTGCTTGATGCACATAATTCTGATTCTACTTGTTTCACTCTGGATCCCAACAGACATCCAGACAGTTTTCATCTTTTTCCCTTTTATGTGTAAATTAGGATAATCTGACATGTCTGTGAAGGCCCCTGGGAGATCCAAGATCTTGATAAGAAGGAGAAGATAGTGACTGGCCTTTATCCTTGAAACCCATGATTTCTTCTTTGAGGTATTCAGATGTATCTGTATTAGTCCCCCCTTTTAATATCTTCAGAGATATTCCACTCTCCATGACAGCAGAGCCATTATTTAATAAAAAAAGGGAGAAGTAAAAGAATAAATTCAGTTCAAAGCCTGTAGATTTGTCTACTTCTGCTGTACGTCCTGGTGGAGTACACTGGCATGAAAAGATTTGATGAGGTACCTTTATACTCCTCCATGCTTGGCAGCAAAGCACAGAATTTGCAGAAGATGGGCTAAAGTGCCAAGAACATGTGCCAAGTCATCATATCTCTTCAGCTCCTTCAACTGGAAGGACCTCACCACAGCTCCCACAATGTTTGAAAATCACCATCAGTCGGTGATAATGCTGCTATTTAAGCATCAGTCCTTACTTCAGGGCATTTGGCCAGGCTGAAGCAGACAGCATGATTTCTCTCTTATTTTAGTAGTTTGTGAAGTATTTCAGGGTGAACACTTATGCAAATTAATGTGAATTATTGGAGAGTGCTTTATTTGTTTGGGATATGCTGAATTAAATCATCTACTTTGTTAGGATGTTTCCTAGAAAACTGATTTAGCATGATAGTGATGCTGAGGGGTGACAGCCACTTAATCAGGGCAATGCTAGTGTAATTTTCATTAAGGACAATCATTAGCTTGTGCCGTATATTTATACTGAAGGTGAAGCTCAAGTTAAAGGGAAAACACTTATCTGTTAAAACTTCCACTTAGTTTGGAATCCCCACTGGGTGGGTGGGTTGGTTGGTTGGTTGGTTGGGTTTGATGCTAGTCACGCTTCCTCTCACAACAAGCAGTGGGGAACAGTATAAAAAGAGTGACACAGAACAGTCATTCAAAATGGACCACAGGATTACCATCGACCCTTTAAAAGTATCCTAGACTACCATATATATTGACAATTTTAAATAGGTTGTTTATGATGCACAGTTTTTTAAATTATTTTGTTGGTTATAATTGTATTCAGGATGACAGACTGGGAACAAGTGGCAAATAGAGTTACTTAGGTTTTTTTCTCTACCTTATTGTCCTATAATGTAGTTATGATGTTTTATTCACAGCTTTTCATCTGTAGATACCAGTACACTGAGATCCCTGTCAAAGGAGGTATTGTGTTCTTTTGTAAAAGACTATCTCCAGCTTACAAATAGGGAAATGAAGGCACAGGAAAGAAAAGATTATTTTTTTTTTTTTGCCCTAAGATTATCCACTATACCAATAGGTGGAATTAGGAGTAGAGCTTGAGTCTCTCAAGGTCAGTAGTCTCCATTAAACTGCTTGTTTAACAATTGGAAAAGTAATTACTTAATACTTTAAAGTTTTAACCCTCAAATTTGGTAATCTATGGACTTTACTTCTCTGAGGCCATTTTTAGAATAGTTTACTGCAAGTCTGTTCACCTGTGAAAGGGGAAGTAAAAATTCTAACATTTGCCTGCAGTATAGGTGGACAGTTGGCATTTTTGTTCAGGATTTTACAATATGCTAATATGATCATATATAACAAGTAGATAGGGCTTTGTGTTGTAAAATTTTGTTTCTGATAATAATCTTGATGTTTTGAATACATAGCAAGGTGTTTCACCTGTTTTGTACAAATTGTTCTTAATAATATATTTCACATTCCTCTCTTCTTCTGTTTTACATTTTATCTTTGGTAATTTTCTGAAACAACAGTGTCTTATTAGTCTCTGACTCGGATGGGAAAGGCCATCGTCCAAGTTAGGGCAATAGCAATTTAGCATGCAGAGAAAAAGACCCAAAGAGAACAGATAGAAAGCTACATTCATGGTATATCTGGACAACAAGATATTGCTGCAAAGCAGTGTGTCGATGTTAATTCCAAGTGAACTACCTGGTTTGCCAAAAGCAGTGTAACTGTGATTTCACTCAAACTGAGGACTGAACTAGGGAATGTAGTTCATAGCTAGGCTTGGGTAACTCTGCATGGCACTGCATTGTACTCCTGTTGATGAGACAGAAAGAAATAGTTACACGTGAGCTTTTATGTAAGTGTGAAATGTCTCACTCTAAAAAGCATTTTCTCAGATTAAAAAAAAAATAAATCCTGCTACAGAACTGTGTTACTGACCTTAGTCCTAAGTTATTCATTTTATAATGTCTTGATAAGTACAAAAATCTGATACATTCATGTGTTATATGAAGCAATAATGTGTAAAAAGAAATTTAAGGTGCATCCTGATGAATTTTTGTATTAATTCATATCCTTTATTTCACAGGCAAAAAAAAACCAGGCAAGAACAGATCACTCACAATTGGACGTGTTTCAGCCTGTTGATGTTACTACTTTAATTAGAACAGTGGAAAGTCAGCATGAATTCTTTTGTTTTACAGAAAGCAAGAAAAATTAAGGTTAATTAAAGGTTAATTAGAATTTAATTGGTAGTTCTTTCCCCCACCCCTTTACCTCTTGTGATAACAGGAATGTTAGAATCCTTGACTTTGATGGCAACAGATTGGGCAGGCCTGGTGTTGATTGCTACTGCCAACATGAAAGTGGTGCTGCAGTTCTGCAGCTCCAGTTCTTAATCAATGAGGTAAGGACATATTTACTCAGATTCTTCTGTATAAATTTAGTTGAATAAGTCAATTTGTGTGTTGTAATTCAGCGATACAACTTTTCACGTTGACAAACTGTGCCAACAAGTGAGTGCCATACGTCCAGAGGACATTCCCCATACTGCCTCGTAGAATACTGTGGGACTGCACACAGGGAAAAGTACTGCCTTCATATACATCAGTATAAAGTGTTGAACAAAAGGCTGTCACTATATGGATCTGTGCAGGTAAATGTAAAATCCATTAAATTGCTAAATTACTGCTGCGCAGTCCTGTTTCAAACACAAATTAATGAAGGAGCTAAATCTTTCTATGGAAATACATTGATGGTTATTGGCTAAAAACTCAATAGTTGGGGATATGCTACTAGAAGCAAGAAAAAGCACTTGCAAGGATCATAAACCATCATGCTTAGTCTTTGCAAATGGTTTGTAGAAATCAATTTTAGAGAAAATTAAGAAACAGTGACAGAATATAGCTTGTGTTGTGCAGAATATCTCTGGAGATGGAAAGAGGCAAGAAGACTTTCTGGAGTATAAATCTGGGGTTTCTTCTAGAACCTCATAACTTGCCCAAATCATGAGCTAGTTGTAGTCCAGTTTCAATTCATTTTCTCCTGTGAGGTGAGGAAACATTTTCAACAGTTTCAAGTTCTCTTTCTAAACGTGGAGATCTTAGAGAGTCTCAAGGAAAGAGTTTTAGTTTTGTGGATTTTTAAACTGGAGAAATATTTATTTTTTTCTACACCTATTCAGAGAAAGTACCTGAGCCATAGAAACTGAGGAGGGAGGACTGAAACTTTAGAAACAAAGAATCCAATGGAATTATTTCAAGGAAGGCAGGGATGAAAACAGGGAGGCCAGGGTTTGAATCAGTGTTCTTTCTTTTCATGAGGTGATCAGCAGAACCCCTAATACACAGGATTAGCTTGATTTTTGTGATGGATATTCTCTCTGACTTTGGTCCAAACTCCTTGGGAGATGAGAATTAACGCATGGATTGCACTTTATTAGAGAAGTCTCTTCACAAATTTCATTTGCATATGTCAACATTGAAAAGAACAGTTACTAGGATTAGGAAGGCAATCCAAGATGCAAAAAGAGAAGTTTATCGGTCAGTCATAGTTCGTATCAACTGATCTTTCAGTTATATCCTTGCCCTTCCTCAGAATAACTCATTGCCTTCTGTTTGGGAAATGATCTAATTCCTCTCTGCCATAATAATACACAGGGACTTGTACTAGACCTAATCTGAGGTGTAAGTGTAGTAAAACCCATCAGCAGCAGTAGAGAGCTTCCTCTTGCAGTCCATTTTCACATGACATCACTGTTCCATGATGAGAAGAAATATAGTAGGAAGGAGGTAGAAGAAGTTCACTTCAAGCTGCCCAGGCAGGTAGGGTTCTGGGCCTTAGAAGATGTCCATTTTGGGGGCACTTTTAAATAAGTGTTGTCTGTTCTGCATTTCATTCATCTTTGTGCTTACGTGGAAATACATGAGAGTTAATTTGTGTAACCTTGGTACAAAGCTTTAATTTGCATATTCGACTGATGGAGTTTTAATTTCACTTTGGCTGATCTTGTACTAATTAAAAACATTTACATTTACCAGATCAATTCAAATTGACATTTATGATAGAATATATTTTTTTCTAGAAGAAAGCAAGCATTTTTCATAAACTGTATTGTTTTCTATGGGTAGATCACTAACAGTGAGGATCACTTAAGAATAAGACAGAATCTGCAGAAAAGTAATATGTTGTGCTGTATTTCGTGTCTTCTGTAGGGTGCTTTGGTCAGTGCAAGTGCAGATGATGCACTTCATTTGTGGAATCTCCGACAGAAACGACCAGCTATCCTACATTCTCTGAAATTTAACAGAGAAAGGTAAGACTATGTGACACAAAGTAAATATCTCATTTAAAAAACCCCAAACTTACTTTCCAGATTTCTAATAATGTGTGCTTACTAGTTTGCCTTTCTAAAGGTGGATATAGTTTTATCTTGAATTTTTTTCTTCCATTGTTTGAGTCTTGTTTCCGTAGGAAAAAACCTTCACTTTCTCTTTCTGCAGCCTTCTCAGAACTAGAAAAAATTTTTCTGCTTTTTGTTAAAACGTTTTTCATTTTACCTTCTATTCACATGAACTGCTGTGACCAGTAGTGTGTTTGGTTTTGTTAAGACCAGACACCGTCACTGCAATCCTTTTGGCTGATCTGTTGATCAGCACTAGCCAGAGTACCTCAGCTGGCTGTATCAGGGAAGTATTTTCTCTACCTTGAAAGGCTTTTATTTTTGTAAAATACTGGAAGTTTAGCAGAAATAAATTGTGAATTTGGGAAACTGTGGTAAATGTCAAATTAATCAGAGACTGTTTTCCCAATTTTTACTTTATCAGTACTTAATTCTAGAAATCCCTACTGAAAATAAATGAGTGGTTCTAATTTTCAAACTGAAACAGAAGCTGAACACTTTAATTGGTATTTAGTCACCCAAGTAAAACCTGCTATAGTTTTATGGAGCATGAACACTACACTTTTATTAAGATTAAGAAAAAAAATCTATGTTTCTATTAAGGAATTAGGTATGTGGTCAGAAGACCAAGATTAAGTGAATAAATTTAGCAGTTGTTTTTTGGTTTGTTGGTTGTTTTTTTGGGGGTTTTTTTTGGTTTTTTTTTTGGTGAGTCCTTGAGCAATATAGTTATTCTGTACTTCATTTTTGGGCTGGATTTTTTTTGAAATTTGAAAACATAAATATAGTACACAGTACGGTTTTGACTGGAAGTTTAAGTGATATTGTAATTGTCTTTGTATATACATTCAGTGTTTATTGAGGTGCAGCAACTTCTTTTAGGTATTTATATATTTGCTCGTGCAGTGTTGAAAGATATCAGTTCTTTTCCAGAGCTGTGAGGTAAACAGGATCATCAAAGCTTTAGCTGCAGCAAATCTGAAAATTATTATGGAAATAGACTTTTTCTTGGTTGTTTATTATTCAGATACATATCGTGTTTGCCCTTAGCTGTCACCAAGTTGCAAGTTTTGTTGTGGGAAGTACTACATAAAAAGTTAGAAAATAAATATACTGATTCCTAAGAGTTTATAGCATATAGCAAAAGTATACAAAGTGGTGTGGGAGTGCGTGAGGGAAGATGAAAAAAAAAATATTTGTACATTTGCTAGCTGCTTCTGGACAGTAAGTCATCATTTTACATATGTTGAAATATTTGAATCTTGGTATTCTCATCAGGTAGGTACATTATCCACAGTTTATCATTGATAAATCTAAAAATTGTAGAAATTATTCCAGTACATCTTGGTCTAGGTCTCCCAACCAGCAACCTTCCACACAACATAAGGAATCAATAGTTATAAGAATGCAGTGTTTGTTCACCTGGTTGCCTGTCATTTCTCTTCAGAGACACTAGCGTGGTATCTTGGTCAGAATTTTATCAGAATTCCTGATAAAATAAACTCACACACACTGGGCTTTGCTAAGAGAAAAATATTTGTCATCGCATTTACCTACATTTTCTTTTGCTTCTGACAGCCTAAAACATTGGGCAAAATATTTTGAAGCAAGTAATTTGGAATACTGGAAACCTTTGCATAAAAATAAATTTTGTGTAATGACATTTTTGAACTGAGGTTTAAAAAGAGTCTGAGGAGGTAGTTATTTGTAACAAATACATAGCTAGCTATACAGCCTTCTAACAAATTATAGTAAGTTAAGAGTAAAAAAAAAATACTACTAGTTCTTTTACACATATTTTAAGTATCTGATACAATCACTGCCATTTAAATAATTTTTATTAGCACATCAAAGGCAATGAGGCAAATATCCTGATCCACTGCTGTATAATATTGTCTAAGTAATTCCAGTTTTAAATTTGAAAAAGAATTTTCAGTAAGTATGAAGAAATAACTTTGTAGGCAGTTCTTTTCTTTTCAGCATTCTCTAGCACTGCCCTAAGTTTTAGGCTTTTGTATTAAAGCTCTTGGCTCCAGAATGGAATCTCTTCATTTTTATTGTTTTTTCTTTTAACATACATATCAATGACTTTCACATCATCTAACTTTCAGTTTTCTAAGCTGGATTACACATTTAGTATGTAAAATTCAACATAAGTATCTGGGCAAGTAGCAAAAAAGCAAGGCTAAAGCCCTAATTAACCCCATCATTAATTTGGAACATTTCTCTGTCTATAAGCCTAACAAAGTCTAAAAGAGAGCTTCCATTTTTTTTTTTCAAATATATTTTTTGTGTTGGAGCACAGAAGTTATAAATTATCTGATGCTCAGAGAAACAACGAATAATGGTTGCCTTCGCTGTAAGAAATTTATGGCAAAATGGATGTAAGGGGAATTTGGGAGGCTGATAAAGCAATAAGATAAAAATTAATTTTCTTCAAGAAATTAAAAGGTCTGTCTTCCAAAAATTAATGTCTTCTTCACTATTGGAACAGTTAAAAAAAGTTTTATTTTCAATCCTCTCCTCTTCTCTAGCAGAGGGAGGTTAAGGGGAGGCAAGGTTCATACTGAAGAGAGAAAGATTCTTTCTTTTGTCTTAAGTTTGTGACCCAATGAATGAGTTGGTTTTGATGTTTCTTAAATGGAGAGAAGTGCTTGTTGACAGAGAATAGGTTTTAAAATACTGATGCATGTTTTCAGAAAACAGTAAGGTATTGAAAAAGGCTATACAGGGAAGTGTTTAGACCTATGAAAATGGAGCGTGTGGCTCCTTCAAAATTTCCTATTTGCATATCTCTCATGAGGATTTATAAAAATTTTAATTTTACTCATACAGTATGTTTATCTCCTTGATATGCTGTTTGGTTTTTTCTGAACAATGGGCAGATTTACTTCATGAAGTGATGCAATATAATGCACTTTTACTTAAAATTCTAATATTTTATCTGCTTGTGGTGAGGAAGATAATTATATTAGTCCAAATTCTTGATTAATTTGACTTCAATTAATTAACTTCTGTGTAGAATCAGTTTATTCTGAGTTTTTAAAATATTTGATGCGTGAACCATACATCTGTTAGATTGTTAGAGGGATGAATGCTGTTTAAGTCTTTGACTATTACTCCAATCTTCATATTGTTGAACTGTTTAATTTGCAATTTGCTTCTGTTTCTTGACATTTAAGATTTCAGGATAGTGGACTAAAATCTGCTCTTAGCAGTGTTTCTGTATATGTTTATGCAACTACACGAGTCTAATTTGCCCAAGTGTATATGTGTATATATGTATATATATTCCCCCTTTCCCTCCCACAAAAGTAAACGTTTGTTCTTTTATTCAGATGTTGGTAACAACATAGATGTAAAGAGCAAAGTGGAGCACTCTGGTTATCTTTCACTTACCGGGTAGCATTCAATATTAAGACACTGAATGGTTTATGAATAATAATTCACTAACAAAAAGCACTTTTGTACCATTGAGTCATAGTTTGCAGCCCCTCCAGATTGGTTTTTTTTTTCTTCTTCTGACCTATTGTTAAACTAATACTGATGCAATATTAGCAATGTTAGCTTTTTTGTGATAACTCACTGCTGCTTTATTCAGTGTCTCTTTGGAGCAAGTGTAGAAGAAACACTGAAGAATGAGATGTAATGGCAAACTGGTATTTTGTTCTACAGTGTAATTCTCTGGACTTTTTAGCAACTTATGTGGTTTTGCCTTGTATCAAAATACAATTTCTGTTGCTGTAATTGGTATGTAATACAATGCATTAAGGACCTTCAAGAAAATACAAATGTAAGCAATGTGTTTCAGTGCTCAGCCCCATTCCGAGAGCTTTAATGATAACACCGTTACTCAAAGGCATGCTTGACAGTAGCGTATGGTTGATAGTATATGATTTCCTTTCCATCCGTTTACAAATAGGATGGACAGGTAAAACTTTTTAACCTCTGGAAACAGTCCACAGCCAAGGGGTGCAGCCCAACACAGCCTGGACACCAGGCTGCACGTGCACCCCAGCACAGCACAGGCTTGCACCTACTCAGGTTGACTGCTGTGTGTAACTCCTCCACATGCAACAATCTCCCAGTCAGGATCCTGACACTATTATATGACTATTCAAACTTACGTCCGCTACTCCTCCTATTAGGAAAAATTGCTCCCTGCTAATTTCACCCTTCTGATGACAAGAGACCTTCTGGCTTCAAGACCACATTTATTTTTATGGCTCTTACTGCCCTTTGTTATGATATTCTGGTATCCACATTGTCAGGCATTTTAAATATTTTGTCACTCCTTTGCAGTTAAACAGCACATTCATATCCATTCACAACCTGCTGTTTGGGGTTTTTTTTCACTATAAAAATCAATATTCTGTATTTTCCTTTATAAATCTGTGTCTTCATTCCCTTTCTCTTTTCTTTGGCCTTTCTTCTCATATCAGTTGTCTCTGAGATGATGGTTAGACAAGAAGACATATTCCAGATAGGGTCCCATCTGTGCTGTGGACATTGCCATTGCCATTTTCTTTTATGCAGGAATATGTTTGCTAATGCATGCTCTAATAACATCTTCCTTTTACACGGCTTCATCTTATCAGTGCTTGTGGTCTTACTGTGATTGACTAATACACCCATTGCACTTCTTCACTGATGTGTATCTAGCTGGCAGGGAAGGTGCTGCTTTTCAGTGCAAGCCTTTCAGAGTGAAAGCAAAGCAAGACAAGCGAAATTGAAATGATCTTTTTCCATCACTTTTATATCATGAATTCCAACCCTAAATTGGAAGTTCTTATTCTTTGACATTTGAGGCCTTGCCCTTTGCATTTTAAATTTAATTCCATTTCTTGTACTCTACTTGTGCAGATTGTCCTTCCTCTGTAATATTGTGTCCCTAAGAGGTTTCATTAGTGTTA